AATCTCAGTGCCTTAAATGAGGGTTTATTGTATCACACGCTCATTCCTTGACACATCGGCTGTAGCTGGTTTTGTATTAGAAGGAGAAGAGTGGAATAATTGCAATGGAGACCTTGTGACTACAAAGCCAAATAGATCTCTCTATGTCTTTTTATAAAAAAAATTGTTGACCCCTGGAACAACATACTTCCTTAAATTCTTTTAAAGTCAGATGCATTGCTCTTTGACCCTCATAACTGTTTTTTCCAAAAAGGAAACCTTAAGTCAATATATAACACTAAGGTCAATCGCCATATAGCCTAGTAGAGATGGAGTCATAGTAAGAAGCAACACAACACCCTGAATGAGAACACAGACTCAACGCTGTATTGGCTGGGCTCAGCTGTGTAGTCATGGGCACAATGCTGAACTTCTCTGTGCATCTATTGTTTTGTTTCATTTGTAAAAGAAGGCTAATGTTATTCCTTAGGGGTGTTATGAGAATTCAAAAAAAATGTTGTAAATTGCTTAGAATGTCATCTGATACATAAATAGCTGTGGTAAAGAAGGCAACACATTTTTTTACTGCAGTTTTAAGAAAATTCAGATACTTAGAAATTAGCTAAGTTAATGAATGAGCTTCAACATGTTCATAAGTAGGAAAAAATACAACCATGAAATAAAATTTAAAAATGTTCTGTCTTGTCTGTGAGTCCTCTATGCCAATAAAGTGCATTAATATCTACTTTAATTGCCTTTTGATTGTAGGATATAACTGTTTGGCTCGCGTACCTATGATATAATTTTGTAATCAGTGATCCTGTTTCAGATAATAAACAAATTGTATTCTGAATGGTTGAGTAATTTCTGATACAAAATCTAACTACCTAACAACTTCTAATCTGAGGGTATCAAATTGATATAAAGGGAAGTAACAGTTTAGAGAACGCATGGATACAAAATTAGTTTGCTTTGTTAAGGTTATTATTCAGTGCTTAGGAAGAGAGCCAATAAAAAATATTTTCCTACATTTAAAGAGACACTCTCTAAGCACCAATGCCAGGAATCAAACCTGTGCATCAAGAAATCTGACGGCTTTTTAATCATTTTAGCAAACAGATAATAAGTATTTTAGATGGATTTTAACATTAATTTATGTAAAAATTTAAAAGACAGTATGTTTTTATAGAAAATGAAATCTTCATATGGTAGCTTCCTATCTACAAAATATAATTTCTTTAAACTACACTGCAGTATAGGACTCTATATAGGAATTAATAACTGGTGGTTAAATGTTTAAAAATCATTTTCATGAATTTTTTCTGCTACAGGTGTTTTCCTAGAGAAGGTCCAGAGGATTTTTGTTCTGTGCACTACTAATATAGATTAAATAATATTTTGGTGAAGTACACCACTTAACCTTTCCTATTTCATAATTTTAATTCATTCAACTTTCAGTAAGCATTTAACTGCTACATTGAGGTGTGAGGTAGAGTGAAAAATGTAAAAGCAAGTTAAAAACTGTAAGTTACTGACCTGCAAGTCTATACCTTAAGCCTATAGCTTGTACTACAGATCTTCATATAATTACTTTTTAATGTATTGAGCATTGTATATCTAGTTATCATATTAAATTATAATTTTATGACTTAGAAGACTTTGATATTGAGTTTTATAGAAACTTTAAAAAACTTAACTCTTCAAATTGTGTTTTATGTTTCTTATAATACAAAGAAAATAGATAAGAAATGACTTTAAAATATTTTAATTTAGTCTACCTAAGTTCTATAATCTTTCTTAAAAGTTCAAAATATTAATTTAGAGATAAAATTATATATAGATATAAATGCACATATTTGGGGTACAGTGTACTGTTTTGATATATGTATATGCTGGAGAGTGATTAATCAAGATACTCAATATATCATTCACCTCACCTACATATCATTTCTTGCTTTTGGTGGTAATAATGCTTAAAATCTAAACTTTTAGCAAATTTGAAATACATTATTATTAACTATGATCACTATAATGTGTAATTGATCATTAAAACTTATTCCTCCTGTCTAACTGAAACTTTATATCCTTTGTCAAGTCTTGTGATATTAAAATACTTATGTATGTATTTGAATATAAGGTGACAAGTCTCTTATTTTATTTTATTTATTGTCCTAATTTTGTTAAAAATAGAATGTGAATCTCAGTGCAAATTGAGCAGCTACAGCAAAATTTAAATTGATTCAAATATTTGCATAAAGATCTTACATTTGGGCTGCTTTTTCTAGAAAATAAAACTCCAAAGTGACTTAATAATCTTCACAATCATGTTTAAATTATTATCATTGTACCAATATTTTTACTCTCTATAGATAACATATATTTTTAAATAAGTGGATTGTTTTGGAGTTATTTGCTTATATTTTGTACTCATTCCAACAGATTGGTCAATTTTAGTTTCCAGTCTCCCTCTCTAATTTTGAGGATTGCTTTCATATTGAGTCTTTAAAAACTACAGGTGGATAAAAAGTAATAGCTACAGTGTTCTTCCATTCAACTGTCTTTAATAAAAGTGTTGTAATCTCAAAAACAATAGGTTACTACATTTATCCTCCTGTTTTAACTCATGTAAGGCTGAGAAAACATTTTTGCATTATGCTGATGCTATAATAAATGGGCTCATTTAATATCATTGATTTGCAACTTGCAGAGTTTTTCCTATAATAAAGTTAAGATCTGGTTATCGTTGCAATTTCTGTGAATTAAAACTAAAATAATGTAATTCATCCCTAAAATTTGAAATGTTACAGTTGCTAATAATGTGACAAAAATCTAAATTGTATTAACTTTGAAATTAACAATGGGTTCACCTGAACTATTCTATTTTCTCTATCTTCTTCTTTTAAAGGAAAATACAGTTTTCTTCCTACCACAGAAGTATCAGATTCCTGCAGCATCCATGATACTTGTAAGCATTCAGTGGTCAGACTCTGCTACATAGCCTTCAAATGATGTGGCCCAGTGAAGCTGGAAGATGTCGTCATGGAGCCAGGCAGCCTGGTATCTCAGCCATCCACCAGGACAGAGCCAACAGGCCCCAGGTGGCATGCTGAATCCAGAGGAAGGTAGGAAATAGATTTTGCATTTTGAGAGTCAACTCTCCTAACATTGAATCCTAGGAAATCCTTACAGAAAAAAGTGGATGGAGGGCTCCTGAAGTTATTTATTGCATTACATTTATAAAGCTCACCCTCCCAAATTACTCTTAGAATAAGTCAAATGTTAATTGTATTATTAAACCCCCTCTGGGTTTCTGAATTTATACTAAAGTATATATTTTTAAAAAATACAAAAGACAAGTCTGTTCAGTTTTATAACTGTAGTCTGAACTCTTGACACTGTGTGATAGATGCTAAATGAAGTATACTTGTAGGTGCTTTAAAAGTGATAAAAATTAAAACAACAGAATGTTAATCATCAATGCCCACTGCTGGGTAATGATAGCCCATCACATGGAGGTTGTCATTTTGATCTTTGGACACACTGAAAAAACTTAAAAAAATGAAAACACATTTCACGCCTTGTTCTCAACTTGGACCCCTGTGCTCAATGTTCAAGCACAAGTGGATTTGGAATTCTGGATCCTGGTGTTGTCTAATTGTCAGCTTTGGACACCACAAGACATTTCTCTTTCACAGATACTAGAAAAATAAACTTGTGGGATTCCTTATAAGCCCATGATTCCTTATATCCTTGCTGACTTCACCCTAACACTAGTGCCTCAACAGCTGTAGATAGTATCTTCCATACCTCAAAACTTCAGTTACCTAGGTCTGGTAGAAACATAATGAAAAAGCCTGTGACTTGTTCATTTAATTCCATAAGGCTGCACAAAGTTTGCTTGGGCACCAGCCTGCATGAGAATATGCCATGACAAATTTTTAAACCATCTACTTTCCTAATGTATCACTTTGGTGGGTCGGGCTGGAGTAGCCTGACATCTCCAATCAGGATGCTTTATCATGAGAAACTGAGAGGATACTGTTTCTCTTTTATAAAAAGAGAAAGAAACCTTGTGCTAAGGCTCATTAAGAAGGGTTTTAAAATTGGAGCCAATAAAACACGACTGTCAATTCCTCTAGCCTTTTCATCTCAGCAGCATTTTAAAAAGGCATCATTTCTTTCCCCATTTTGACACGAAATCCTATTTGCAACACACACATAGACACATTCTAAATAGCAACACCAGCCTCAACAACTTCTCTGTGACTTGTAGACCGGCTCCCGGCTCCCAGACCAACCGGAGACCCCCTCCCAATTCTCAACTGCACTCCTCTTTGAGATGGAAATTAATAGGAAGATTCACCCACCACCCTGAAACCTTTTCCTCTGCTCTCCCATAAAAAGTGCAAAGGAAAGGCTTTTTGCAAGATGGAAAAGTTTGTGTGGCCACAGGATGCCAGCATCTCCAATTGCCACCCTGGAGTTCCAATCTCCAAAGGGAGCCTGCCTCAATCAGGAGAAAAAGCAAAACAAACAAACAAACCCAACTTGAGTGAGTGTGATGACTATGAAAGCTCTTGTCTGCCAGCATCCCCTGGGCACTTCTGCTGGCCCAAGGCAGGAAAGGGGAAGGATGGGGCCTTATTACAGAATCCTTTTCCTCAAGCAAGCCCAGCTTAAGATTTGGAAGAAGGGTTAGGATAGAGAGGCTTCCAAAGCTGCACTTCGAAGGTTTCTGGCCTTGGCCCCACCTGCCTATCAATTTCAGTCTGTCCACAGTTCTCACCTTCCCAGCCCTGGGATGTGGAGAAGCGGGACTTGTGTGAGCTCAGGGATGCTGTTAGGGCCAGTTCCCTATTGACCTTTCAGGAACTCTGAAATCAACTTTTCTCCAAGCCATCTGAATTGTTCCTGTTTGTTTTCAGCCTGTAGGAGTCTCCGGCCCAGCCCAACCTTCTCCCCCCCCCTCCCTGCCCCCTCCCCTCCCTCCGCCCCCCCCCCCCACCTTTGTTGTCTCCTACCTGCTGGCCAGGCTCTGCCTGCAGTGCTGCCTGAAGGGCATCAGGTGGTAGTTCATGGCGTCCAGCAGCAGCTTCTGGCAGACAGGGTCGGTGCGCATGAAATCCACTGACTGGACCCGCTCCACCAGCTCTGGGGCTGGGATGAGCGCGAAGCGGAGGCGCTTCATGAGGTCGGGCGCGTACTGCATGCGGGTCTCGCGGTCATGCTCCAGCCACAGCACGGACATCTGGAAGAGCGCCAGCTCCGACTCCACGGGGGGCGGCAGCGAGTCCAGCAGGGCGCGCATCTCCTCGAAGTTGAGGAGCAGCACGTCCTCCACCAGGTACTTGTTGGCCAGCTTCTTGGTCTCCTCCAGGCCGTGCAGCGCGGCTATCTTACACACCTGCTTGTAATTCTGCACAGAGATCTGGTCGTTGAGGAACTGCACACAGAGCTTGGTGACCTGGGGGATATGCAGGATCTTGCTGACCGACAGCACCTCCTCCACGGTGTCCAAGGAGAGGGTCACGTTGGCCGTGTAGAGGTACTCGAGCACCAGGCGCAGCCCGATGGACGAGCAGCCCTGCAGCACCAGGTTGTTGATGGCCCGGGGGCTGGTCAGCAGCTTGTCGTCGGGGGAGGAGGAAGGAGTCCCGGGCTCCTCCTGCGGAGGCGGCGGAGGCTGCTGGGTCGACTGCGGCTGCGGCGTGGGCTGCTGCTGGTCCTTGGGGGCCCCCAGGCCGTCCTGGGCGCCGACCCCTCCCCCGAGAGGGGGGTGGCTGGAGAAGAGCGATCGGAAGTACTGCGAGCAGGAGGCCAGCACGGCCTTGTGGCAGTGGAACTGCTGGCCCTGGGCCGTCAGGGTCACGTCGCAAAACAGCTGCTTCCTCCACAGCAGGTTGAGGCCGTGCAGCAGGTTGTCGCTGTGGCTGGGGTCGAAGGTGGAGGTCCTGTCCCCGGATCTGGACATGGCGAGCAGACTCGGCGCACCTGGCTTTAAACCCTCCTCTAACCTGGCAGACAGGGGTGGGGGATGGGAGGGGGAGAGGGTGGCGGCGGGGTGGAGTGTGGTCGGTGGGGAAGGGTGCGAAGGGGAGGGGAGGGCAAAGAACAACAATCAAGGCTCAGTTTGGGCCCCTCCCGGCGCTCTGGGGCCCCCGGCGCGAAGGGGTCCGCGGTCTGGGGTCCGGGCGCCCCTCTGCCCCGCTCCCTCTTCCACTCTTGTCCCTCACTTTCCTAAAACCGCCCCGGCTCGGCTCTCGCCAGCTACAGCGGTGGCGGCAACGACGGCAAAGTGGCGGCTGAGGCCGAGACACCTCGTGAGCTCCTGTCCATGCCGGGCCGGAGGCAGGGAAAGGCCGGGAGTGGGGGGAGTCGGGGCGCCCCGAGAACGCAGAGGCGACCGACGGCGGGTTCCGGCTCAACTCTTGCTGGAAGCCGTGCGTGTTGTAGTTGGCCCAATTTTCTTTTTGGGGGGGTGGCTGGTAGGAAGGGGGCCAGACGGGCGTGCGGGTGGGCGATTCTTAGCTCTCCGAAAGCTGGGACCCCTTCGGTTATCCGCGCTGCCCGGAGAACTCCTAGGCTAACAGTCTGAGGTTGGAGATAAAGCCCTTTCTTCTCCCGGGAAAGTGCAGCGGAGCGCGGCGGGGACCGCTCAGTGGACTCGGCAGAGGCGGGAGCTGTCCTTATCAATTCTAGCTCATTTCCCACACCCCGGCGGGCGCTGCCCGCTTCCCTGCTTCGCAAACTGTTGGCTTCCCCGTCACCACTCAGTTTTGCTAATTTTCCAGAGATGCCTGTAAACCCGGCTGGAGAATCCCCCCCTCCCGCCCCGCCCCGCTCCGCTCCACCCGGGGCCCCCGGTGCACCCGCTCCCCGCATGCCGAGCCCCGAAGTTCGGACCTGGTCGCCCCTTCCAGCGCGGGGCGGCCCCGAGGATGGTGGGGGAAAAGTGGGGCCACCCGGGGGGTTCCGAGCCGGGCAGCGGGCGCAGTCGCTTTAGCTCCAGCAACTCTGAGAAGTTCAAGTTGGAAGGCAGGTGCTGGGGCAGGGGGTGGGGGCTGCTCGACCGGCCCGGGTGCGGCGCCCCGCGGGGTCTCGGCTCGCCCCCCTCCCGGTAGCCCGCAGCAGCCGCTCGCTTCCGAACCCGGGTCCAGTTCCCCAGCCCCCCCCCTCGGGCCCCCCCACTCCCCCGGCCCTGGAACTTCTTCTGTAAAGTCTGAGCCGCCCGCATCTAGGAGGAGCAGGGTGGGGTGGGGAGGCGAGGAGAGACGGAGCGGCCCGGTCCTTAACCTGTAATTGCACCTTCCAGGACGCAGCGGAAAGGGACCCTCTGCCCGCCTCCCGCCGGCCCGCCCGGGAGAGCCGCCGCCTCCCGGCTCCGAGGGATCCCGCCGGAGCTGCGCCTTCCTTCCCCGCTCTGCGGCTCACTCTGCCCTGCCTGCTGCCGGTCCTGGATCGCCGGCTTCCCATTTCTCCCGGCCCCTGCTCCGCTCCACTCACTTTACCATCCCGAGCCAGGTGGACTCAACCTCCCCCGCGCTCCCTCCCCGGCAGCACCCCCACCCCGGCCCCCAAGCTCGGGCTCGCCGGAAACATCTCAGAGTCTCCCTGGAAGTGGCCCTGGTCAAACCTCTCTCGCGCTCTTCCCGCTCCGATGTCTCGCCCCCCCCATCTTTTCCAATTCTCCTTCCTTTCTTGTTCTCCTCTTTTGCCTCCCCCCCTCATGTGCTTATTTCTTGCAATAGGAGTTTTATTCTTTATAAGCCCTTGCCACACAACTACCCCCCCTTCAAAGACTCCCTCCCCCATCCAACAACCCAAAAGACAACAAAAATACCCACAAGGCAGACACAAGGCCAGAAACTTACCTGCTGCTCCCCCCCAAAAATCAATTGTCCTTCCTTTTAAAAGGTTTGCTCTCTCCTTGGGAGGGGGAAAACACCTTCTGGTTCCCAACTCCAGGCAGTCACTCTTTACAATTTATTTTGTCGTACATCATTTGATCACCATGAATTAGCAACAGCAAGAAAATGTAGGAGAGGGAGAAAAGAGAGAAAGAGAGAGGGAGAGAGAGGAGAGAGAGAGAGAGGGAGAGAGAGAGAGCAGAGCTTTCTGCAAGAGAAGAAGAAGAAAAAATGTACGTGTGACAAATTATGCTACCAAGAAACAACACATCATTATCCTTGGGCCTGGGGCTCAGTGAGTCGTAACGAGAGTAATAGGAAATCCACGGTTGGGGAGAGAAACGGTCGTGCTTGGCCAGTAGAGAGAGACCATACAGGGGGATGGATGCTGGAGAGACTCGCAAAATTATGGCTCAAGGCTATTGTAAAAATTGTCGAGCGTAAATGACTGCGATTTCAAACATCTTTGGAAGAAAGAAGGGGAAAAAGCGAGCCCCCCTCCCTCCCTCTCCCTCTCTCTCCCTCTCTCTTCTCTTCTCTCTATAAAGAACCGTCAAGTTTTAGTGCGCATTGCTAATTAGTCAATTTCTCTCTGCCTTCACAGGCTGGCGACTTCGCTGCTGAGCTGAAACTGCTAATTTCTGTGACCAGCTTTTTTCTTAGCTGTGATCTGGATGAATGAGTAGCTGTCTCACAGAGATGACAAAAATAAACTCCAATCCCCCCCAAATTTCCACTACATCTTTCTCATGCATAGATTTATGATCTTCAAGCGCTCTGTGCAATATGCAAACTTTTTTTTGTGCCTGTATATATGCTGTTGTTTCCAGATTTCACTACATTGGTATGCTGCTTTTCCCTTCCACCCCCCCCCCCCCACACACTAGGAAATGCGGAAACAGTCTGATCTCAAAGTGGCTAAGATGCCACTTTATCCTGTCTTGGTATTTGGGGGTTGGGGCCACCTTGGAAGACACTGGCCCTTGCCTGAGAGGTGAGTGGCTGAGTATACAAGCTGGGGGTGGGGGGAAGTAGTGTGGTTTTCAGGGGAGCCCTTGGTTTTACATTTGTTTCCCTGCATTATTCAAGCTTCATGGTCTTGTTTAGAGATATATTTTCTCTATCGTTTTGGCTGGTTAAAAAAAACCCACCTTTGAAGTTCTCTGTCAGATCTTCAACAGATAAGAATTCAGAAATCACATTTTTTAAAGTGGAAGATTACCATATTGTCAGGTTTGTATTTCAATTAGGAGTCTTTGATTTGCAGGAGCTGGAATCAAGTGCCAGGAAACCCAGCTGCAATTTTATAAGTATAACCTTTCAACTTTGGAGTTCACCTGAAATAGAAGGGCAATCACATAGTGCTCACACTTTTGACTCTGCTTAGTATGCGAAATGAACCTCAGCATGTTTCTGGGATTTTAGCTGTACCAGAGATTCATGTGCATTTTGGTAGAGGACATGTTCTCCAGACTTATCTCATGATGTATTACTCCCTTACATTTATAGCCCTGCATTTCAGTTGTCAATGGGGGCTGGAGGTGTCCAAGAAAGGGAAAATAAGAAAGCAGAAAAAGAAAGGTATGCCCTTGAATAAAACAAACATGAAAGAAAGCTGGGCATGAGTTAAATTGAGTTTTGTTTGGTATTAAATGTATGAATATAATCCATTCTAATTTACATGTGCTCTGATTAATAAGCTTATTAAGGTACACATCAAGTTACCCTCAAAGGGCTATCGGTTTACCTTCCCTTTTGATTTGTGATAGATGGAAAGACACCTGCTTAAGGGGGAGGACTGAAAATTCTGAGGTTCAGAAACAGGGATTTCCCCATTTAGAATGATAAACATTAGCACGCATATGGAATATTTACTCTTAAGTAAAGAAGGATCAAACTGAAGTATTTACCCCTCACAAAGGCCCTTTTCTTTGAAAGTGCTAGATTACCAGAGAGTAAGATTTCCTTATTCAGATGCTGTTGACATGCATATTCATGTTTATAACAGAAAAGCCCAATACATAGTAAAATAAGAGAAAACATTGTGGTGTGTTTTTGTTTAGAGCAGGAGAATGAAAAAATAGTTTATCCAAATTTTCTGCTCCTACTATTTGATTTTATTTTTACTTTCTCTTTTTTGAGTTGCCGTATGGGATCTTGAACAACAAGACTGTCTGACTAAAGATAATGCTTTTTTGGGGGTTCTGGATCATTAGCAATTAAAGTTATCAAGGAAGTATGTAGAGGGCTACCGAATTCTTACACATACAAAGTACTATTCTTACATTTGCTTTTCATGTTGATCTTTTATGAACTTGCAATGAAGTACTTGGAACTAAATCCAAAGGTTAATACTGTAGTATTGATCACTTAATTTACTGCCATCTTCTCATTTTATGATAAAAGAATTAAACTATATTTTAGAGGCCACAAAATATCTTAGTTTTGAATTTTTTTTTACTAATGGAATACACTGGTCACTAATTATTAGATTATTACACTATTGCTTCTAGAGAATATAAAAGTCACATTTCAAAAATTTTAGTCACCATAATTTTAATGCTTCTTTAACAAGTAGGTGGAAAGGTAATGGAGCAGGGTTGGGGGCTTGCAGTTCTAAAACAGGCGTAGAAATGAAGCAGATGTGTTTATTTTCTTTTGTATTTTAAAGTTATCCTATTTGATAATACTTAACATCTCAGGGAAAGAAACTATAGTTATGATTGTCTTGCAGGCAATTAAAAATAATATAGACGAGATCGGGCCCGTTCAGGGTGGTCACAAGGGCCAGAGTTCAATCCCCGGTACAAAAAAATAAAATAATATGGATAACAAAACAATTCCTTCGTAATCTGTGCATAAACTAGCATACACATCATGTAAATCTCACACTTCCAATATTTTGCACTGGCTCTGATGAAATTATTGCAGAACTCACAAATGATATGACACTATTTACTATAAATCCTGTTATGAAAGATTCAATTTACAGAGATCAGATGCTAGCTACTAAGTGATTGTAAGTATTTGAATTTTATCCTACTTCACTGTTCAACGTACAGAAATTGCATCTGTGTGTTTGATCTGTCCTGCTGAGCACTATCAGCAGCTTGCCTCTCTGCCACTATTGTTTTTAAAATGGCAGGAAGGACGTGACTAGTCAAGAGCACTCAGCGGGATGGATTTCACATGGCAGAAGAGCAGCCAGAATTGTCCTTGAGGAAAAAAAATATATGATCATATAGCCATCTAATTCAAGCAGTCTTCATACTTTGCGGAATTATCAAAATTATTCATCATTGAATCTGCATTTAAACTATGTACAGTGGAAAGATTCTGAAATTGTCACCACCGAGCAGTCCAGTAGAGCTGCCATTAGTGCTGAGCGGTCTGGTCAGCCTTCAAGGTGGCAGAAAGCCAGGCATATCAATGGCTCCAGTTGCTCCTGACCATCTCGCTGGACTGGATGAACTGAAGATTATCTTTAGAGCAGTTCTAGAAGTGTTCTGTGGCTTAACATGAAGGGGCAGCCACGCTAAAACTTTATTTTCTTCACTTCTGACTTTTCTGATTCAGATTTGTGAGTTATCATTAACTTGTATAAACATCAGAGCCTGGCCTCCCCTGTGTTTCTTTTAGTTAGTAAATACTACCTCCATGTGGCCTGACCTTTCTAATCGCTGTCATTGTGGAATGGATCCATAGAGGCAGGAATCATTCCTTTTTATAGACAGAATAAAACTGAATGGAGAAGGACCATATAGCTTTCTTCATGTCAGCGAGTGGTAAAACCCAGATACAACTTAAAAGTTTCTAGGATTTTTGGTTTTATTTTAAATCTTGGGTAGACATGACCAGAGATATCACAAAGTTATCAGCACCAAGCTTACTGAAGAGCAAAAACCATCTGAAATAACAATAAAAGACAAGAAATTGTCTATTGGCTAACAGTCAAAAGCTAATGGTTTATTGTTGCTCCATGGTCAACTCCAAATTCTTGGCCTTGACCCCAGAGCATTCCAGGTTCCCAGGATCCAGTTCTAGCTCCTGTGAGCGGGTTGTTCTGTGAGGTGTTCTCTGGAAGCTTTTTTTTTTTTTTGGTACTGGGGATCAAACTTGGGACCTTGCGCTTGCCAGGCAGGCGCCGGAACCACTAAGCTAAACCCTTGGCCCAAGCTTGTGTTTTTATGAGAGGTCTTGGTTCGCTACACACAGAAACCCCATCTATCTCTCAAGATTAAACTCATATTTCCTTCTACTATGAAACTTTTTCAGGCAACTTTACACAGGATCATGACTCCTTTTGCTCACTGTGCTCATTACTTGCATGGTAGACACTATTCTAACACTTTCAGAAGTTTCCTTAATTTGCTGGCCAATCCTGTGGGAAAGAACGATAGGTTGCACAAATGACCCTAACTCTCCACCCTTCCTGGTAGTCACACCTCCATTCAATTGTGGCTTTTCTGATTTTTTTCCTTTTTAAACTGGAATCTACTCCTTAAATGTGAGCTGGCCCTATAACTTGCTTAGACCGTAGGACATGCCGGAAGTGGCTTTGTGCCAACTGTGAGTCTAAACTTCAAGAGGCTTCATACCCTCCAATTCTGCCAGGTTCAACTCTTTCGGAATACTACTACCAGCTGCCATGTGAAAAAGTCCGAGCTAGCTTGCTGGAAGATAAGACACCGCAAGGACGAGGCATTATATTGCTCACCAGGAAACTGAACTCAGACACCTGAATGAGCCAACGTGAGACAGGAGACCCAGCATAGTCTACATTGCTTACTTATGCAGTCCTGAGCTAAATAAATGGCTACAGTTTCAAGTCAGTATTTTTTTAGGGGGGGTTGATTTGTACCTTAGTAAAACTATCTGTTAAAGAAAGTTATTATTATAATTTTACTGGTGGGCAAATGAAGTACAGAGAAATCAGGTGAAATTTTCAGAACCCCACAGCTTTTCAAAGGTGTAATTGACATTTAAACCAATAGTTTAGCTCCTGATAGTAGCCATTCTACCACACTGGAGACTGCTTCCCATTAACATTCATTCACTCAAGTATATATTAAGTATCTATTATATACCAAACAACATGCTAAATATTGAGGGTATAATAACAAATCAAATTGCATCCTTGCCCTCAAGGGGCTAACATTCTAGTGGATAAGATAGGCAGGTAAATTAGACAGAGCAAGTGAATAATTACAATTGATAATTGCTCTAGTAAGTGGATATATATGGAAGTATTGGAGCAGAGTACTTCCTAATAGTACTTATTATCTGTAATACTCTTTTGACATTTATTAGTTACTACTTTGTTAGTTGCATATTTACGAAAATCTATTTGTTATTGCAACTTGATGATAAACTTCAATGGGGGAAAGCATTCTGCTTGGTAAAAATCTCCCATGGTCCATAGCTCTGTACCCTGTTGGTAGTAGTTATTCAAATAAGTTTGTTGATGGACTATTGAACATTAATTTTCAAATTTATCAGAGAAACAGCAGAAAGAATGGGGAGTGTATTTCACAATCAGAGACTGCTTTGGACATTTGACCAAAATGATGCTAAGCAATCCCAGATTACACTGAACTACTGTCTTACACTTAAGAAAATTTTGATGATCTTGTGAAATTGTTGCTCATAGCACATAGAGAAGAGCTTGATGGGATCTTAGTGATTAATTCCTCAAACCTTTCACTTATGGCAACTGACATCCAGAAAAAC